AAAGAATCTTTTTGCAGACTTCATTTCTCTCCCCAACTAGAACTCTCTCACGGCTGGTACATAAAATGCTAGTCAGGGAAGTATTTGGTCCCCATCAAGACTTGCCTGCCATCCTGCTTACCATGACAACATGAAACCCAGTCTTCTCTGAATTTTTGTTAATCCCGCATCTCATTCTAATGTTCCAAAAACAGCTCTCAGGGCCACCACAGCCCTGAGGCCAAGGGAACACACATACCACATGACGTTCCTTCTGTTTTACCAGTGAGGGAATGAGGCAAAGTTTTAGTCAGTTATCGGAGGAGGAGGTTCCTAAAGGCTGTTGAGACCCATCTCCCTCTGGCTTTTCCTTCTGCTGGGTTTCTGCCAAAGCAAGGGAGTGTGAGCTGAATATATGAGAGAAATCCTCCACGATGGTGCCTTGTGCAGAGAGAACAACACTGCCACCAAGCCTGTGGGCCTTCAGGGGACAGCTCTAGGAAGCCATGTGGAAGCCAGTGGAACTTTTGGTCATCTCACAGAGCTAAGTGGAGAAGGCAGGTTTCAGATTCTCAAAATTGTGGTGAGATTCACCATCCTTTTTGAGTTAAGAATCTATCCAGCTCCTCTGGAACATCCTTAACCTTGCTATTCCTTCCCCAGTGCATCTTCTGGGCAAAACACACCATGTCCCTCCTCAAGGACAGCAGAAGAGAGTGATGCTGATTCACTAAATTGCTAAAATGTGCTTTCTGACTGTTGAATTATGGGCAGACATTTATCTCTGTTTACCCTTCTGAAAGTCCTTGGCCAAAAAAGACAGGATGTACCTCAACATCACAGTGCACTCAAAACTGAAGGAATGTTCTTCTAACAACAGCCTTGTCTCTGGACTAAGCAGGCTCTGGGTTACTCATCATGGAACAGCTGAAGTCTTTTTCTAAATTTTATTGGTGACCATTTTGGTAAGAGTGAAACTGTTGAGATTCTGTGTTTGAGACAGGTTTGTACACACCGGCCACAGATGAAATTAATAAGATGAATTTAAGAGCACTTTGGTTTTAAAATACAAGACACTTTAGTCTGCCTTTCTCTGTCTTGAGCTGGGCTGTGGTGGTGGGGCGGGGCGGAGGGTGGACAGAACTGGAGTCGCAGTGTTGAGTTCAAGCCCCATTCTGCCTCTTACTTCCTATGGGATCTTGGTTAAGGGGCTTCACCTCCACGGAACTGAGGTTCTTCATCTGTAAAATGGGACAGTAACTACCACCCCCCCACACCCCCAGGTTGGTTTGATAACACTTACTGAGTAACTACCACAGGACTTAAAAGTGATAGGTTAAAAAAAAAATCCAGTTGACACTTATGAAGCATCTACCAGATGCTCTGGGCTGCTGTGCTGTGACCCTGGGTTCACAGTTCACCTTAGAATCATTGGAGATTTATGGATTATTAGGACAGCTTTTTAAAAATAAATTGTTTTGAGGAAGGTATACCTTTTAAACATTTACACACAAGCCCTGTTTAAACTAGCAAATGCTGGGCCCATGGGCAGTACACAAATTACTAGGTGATGGGAAAAGGCAACACAGAAATACAAAAATCTCACCAGTTGATCCTTGTGTTGGGTCTTGAAAGAACAGGGGTGTGCAAGGTCAGGAGGAAGGAAAAAGCATTCCTCACAGAATGAAAAACTACTGAAACTCAGCAGTAGTGGTGATTTTAAAACCTGTCCATAAATTCTTATTCTTTCCTTTAAAAGATGAGGTCTAACTCTCTTCTCCATGAATGTGGGCTGTATGTAGTGATATGTTTTTGATGATTTGAACACAGTGGAGGTGTGTGGTGTGACTTCAGCTATTGGATCACAAAAGGCTCTGTGGCTTCCTCATTGCTTTTTCTCTTGGGCCAACTCCCTTTAGAGGAAGCCAGATGCCATGTTGTAAGGACTCTCACTACTATCAAGTGATTCATCTTGGAATTTCAGATTCTCCAGCCAGAGTCAAGCCTTCAGAGGATGCAGCCCCAACTGACATTTTGTCTGGAGCCTAACGACATTACCTTGTGCCAGAACCATCTAACTACGCCAGTACAGGAGTGGCTGACTCCTAATCCACAGAAAGGGAGATAATATATATTTATTGTTTTAAGTTGCTGAGCTTTGGGAAATTTGTTTTGCAGCAGCAGATCACTAACACAGTGGCAAAAAGATCCCAATGGAAACTTCCTCTGCTTGGAGCCTGGGGGCGTGGGGACAGAGAAAATGGGGTCTGAAAGGTAAATGCCCAACATTCTCTGATAAGAAATTAAGATTTATCCTCTCAGCAACATATTCAAGCTGGAGGATGTCTTTACATAGAGGAGTGATATGATCAGAGTCTTTGGCATGAAATGGGATGGGAAGGGAGATTGGCTGGGGGCCGAGGGGACTCCAGTTAGCAGGTTACAGGAACAATCATTCAGGTATGAAGATGAAAGCCTGAATTAAGAGAATGGCAGAGAGCGTGGATATTGGGAGGACTGTCTTAAGATTTGGCAGTTTTCAGAAACAACCAGTATTTAGAGCCGTCTTGTGAAATCACACTCCACTCTGCATTGTGTCGGGGGAAAAGTGTGCTGAACTACATGACAACTCTGTATTCCTACCAACATCATCACGATCATCACACACACACACACACACACACACACACACACACACGAGATAATTTTCAAGCACGCACAGAATCAGCACTTTGTAAAAAGGACTTCACAATTAGGAAATGTCTCACTCTTAGGATTTAATATTAAGCCTTTCAAACAGTCCTTTATAGAAACTCTAATTTCACGAACAAAAAAATAATAAGCTCCCCCTTCCATAAAGGGAACCAAAAGACTCACATTTGTCCAATGCACAAATAAGGCCACAGAGGATTAGATTGAATTTTGGTGGGACACAGATTAAATGTGATTTTGAAATGTTGAAATCTTCAGCAGAATCCATGACTAAAACAGCAGACAGTGGGGGCGCCTGGGTGGCTCAGTCGTCAAGCGCCTGCCTTCAATTCAGGTCATGATCCCAGGGTCCTAGGATAGAGCCCTGCATCGGGCTCCTTGCTTGGCGGGGAGCCTGCTTCTCCCTCTCCTAATCCCTCTGCTTGTGTTCCCTCTCTCACTGTGTCTCTGCCAAATAAATAAATAAAATCTTTAAAAAACATAAAACAGCAGACAGTAAAATTAAATTAGCTAAGAAGTGCTTGCCCCCCAGAAAACTGGCGTCCTTAGAAAAATGACATCTATTTTTGGTATTTCAATAGCCCTAGAAAGAGATGCATATAAATGCTAAGCCATGAATATTTCAAATGGCCACATTTCTGCTCTAATGGTGAGGGGAGGATATTTATGTGTGTGTGTGTGTGTGTGTGTGTGTGTGTGTGTGTGTATACACACACATATATATATATTTTCAAACTAAATGAAAGAAACCTATTTTCATTCTATAATCTTGAATGCACTGTGTCATCACCACTGAAAGCTACATCTCCAGAAGTTTCTCCTGGAAAGTAGCATTCTAGTGGAACAGATAATTAATCAGAGAACTAGAAAGAATTCCAAACCAGCAGAGAGAAAGTAAAGCAACCACATTTGATTTCCAGAAGGAAAAAGTTGCAAATAGTAGTAGTTGGGAATTTTATCATAGCTGCTTCTGAAAACTGCTTCTTAAACAATGCTTTCTTTTACATTTACACAGTATATGGAACTTTTGAAGCAATGTTCATCTTCAGATAACTTGATCCAATAGATACTTGAATACTCAGCGTCCTAACAAGAGGAGATAAGATCTGTCCACTAAGAGGAATGCTATTTCTCTTAAAGGAGGCAACTATATTCCTTGAGGCAAAGGCTGTGTTGTTGACCACAGTGGTCCTGTGCCAACCATGAGGCCCCAAAAGGGGGCCACTCACCAAACGACCTGTTGCAAGAGGAATGAACGAACAAGTGGACAAATGTATGAACACGTTTAATGCTAATGACTCTGGACGTGTACAAATAACATTCAAAGGTAGGTCTCCGCTGTAAGAACTCATAAATATTTACAACCGAAAGTCTTGCGGAAGATGTGAAAAATTCTGATGTTTAAGAAAAGGTAAAAATAACGCAAGTGTGAACTAAGTAAAGAAGAGGTGGCATATTTTAGGAAGCTTGACAAAACTCTTTTAGCAAAAGCACACTGCCTATCGCTGTTCAGAATAACTGATATGGCGAAAGTAACTTAATGAAAACATGTTCCTTCGAAGCTACTAAAAACCTGCTTCTGGCTCACAGTCCAAAGTTAAACTTTTCGTGCAGGAGCAAAGACAAGGACAAAGAGAAATCACCACCGTTAGTGCCTGCACCAGAGCTATTTATTAGCGTAACTTTTTCTTTTTTCTTAAAGATTTTGTAACAACTGAAGTATATACAAAGTCTTACAGCATTTACACCATAAAAAGTTTCCCATTAGCTGATGAAGTCTAAGGTAGTGCCGCTGAGAACTTCAGAGCATGAGTACAGAGCAATGAAGCAGACTGCTACACGTTTTTACCTCTCCACCACCACACACCACAACTGTCAGCCGGTCCACAGCTAACGATCCACCTGCAAGACAGGTTACTGGGGAAAACGGGAACGAGTCGATTATGCAGCACTAGAGACCAAGGGGTGGAAAAGCTACATGGCATCATGTTTCTACAGTTTCCTAGAGCTGTAACAAAGGTCCACAGCCTGGGAGAATAACATATGCAAGACAACACAATCGCACTGCTCAGATAATGGTTCGGTTACTAAAGGTATTCGCTTTTGAATGGGAGGCTCTATACCGATATGGCTGGTATTTCCATTTGTGTTCAATGTCTTCAGATAGCTCACACCTGCACAAGCCCCACTCCCCTCTCCCAAATAAATCAACAGCACAGGGAGGGAAGGAGAGAGGCAAGAGAGTCAGCACAGAATATTAGTTCTTGATCAAAAAACAAACAAGTTTTTTTTTTTTTTTTTTTTTTTTAAAGACATTTAGTATCAGCTTTAGGATGGTCATTCCCGTCATAAGATTAATAGTAGAAATTTCGGAATCAACCCAAATCAGAACATCAACAAAAACCCCAACCCCCAAACTCCTAGATTTAATCACCTTCATTGTTTCTGATTGTCTTTCCTTGGGGTATTACACAGAAGCACCAACATTTACACACTTAATTGGACACAAAACGTAGCACTGTTGCCCTAACCACTACTTTAGTAAGTGGCAGGAGAATTCCAATCGCAAATGATTAACATCAGGCTCACCGCTTTCTTCCTCAGAAAACCCAGCCTGGTTCTCTAGCTTAGGTCAGTCACTGTATCTGTTTGGTAGCAGATCCCATGGATTTTCCCCACTGTTTCGGGCTCACATGTAGGCAAATTGGCTTTTTATTTCAAAAAGATTCTACTCTCAACTTAAAAGCCAGTTGATAAAACCTTTAATTAAGACATAAGAGCGCGGGATATAAAAACACACCACATAAATATCGAAGAAGTTGTATACCGTTTTTCGTGTAAACAGTTTTGCTTAAGATTGAAGCCCTAACCGGATTCTGGCCTGAAACTCTTGGCAGATGACGTTGTGTTCAGTCAGGCTCTGCAGCGATGGTTGACGTGGAAGCCAGGTCAGTCCCCATGTTGACAGGCATGCAACTTGGAAACATTGCACAACGAGCAACACAAAGAGAGTGGAGAAGCTCACAACACTTCAAGGAGACCTCACAACCTTCACGACTGCGGATGTACAGACAGAGACCCACCCCTCCCTCCTCTGCACGCACTCGGTCTTACACGTGGGAGACCTTCTGTGACTCTCTAGCTTGTTTGATGCTATACAACCACTTGATGATCCTAGCATTTCTTTCGATGGCAGAAATGCCATATGGCACCCGGTCATTGGCACTGTCATCATTTCTAAGGTCACTGTTACTGTCCTGAGACTGTTCGCAGTCTGAGCTGATCATGCTTGCGCTACGGAAGTTGAGGGATATGATGTCGGAATTAGCCCTTGCAAAGTTTTCCATTCCAAGGTTTTCCAGCTCTTCGGGGTCCAGTCCACAGTAGTTGAAGAACCTCTCCACGTCCGCGTCCACGCGGAAATACCTGTCACTCAAGTCCGACTTAGACCGCTGGAGCGAGGGTCTTCGGCTGACGCCGCAGGCCGGTTCCACCGGTTCGGCTTCCGGAGACTTCACGGTGGCCATGGCCGCGACCTTGGGTTTGGGAGGCAGGGGAGGGGCGGAGCTACTGCAGGGGATCGCTTTTAGAGGCTTCACACTGGTCACTTTGCGGATGTCCGAGGAGCTGTGGGAGACGTGGAGGAAGGACTCGGCCGACTGCTCCAGCAGCCTCCTGCCCACGTGGGAGCCGCCCTCCTGCGGGCTGCCGCGGCCCTGCGTGGGGTACACCTTCAGGGACTCGGCGAAGGAGTGCCGGTGCAGGTCGGTGGAGTCTGGTCGGTGGGGCGGCCAGTTCCGGGTGCTGAGCTTGTGCCCCGAGCCCGAGCTGGAGCCTTCGGAGCTGTTGATGATGTTTTTCAGGATCTCGAGCTTCAGGTTCTCCCTCTGCACGCCGCTCTCGGTCTTGGCATGGCTGCCGAACACCCGGAGCGTGGGGCTGCCCAGGGCGCGCTTGGCGGCCGGGCACACCGGGGGCTTGGCCAGCACGGCCGGCTTCACGGGCTCCTGCTTGGCGTTGATGACCTCCTGACTCTTCACATACTTGGCCTTGTCCGCTTCCAGCCTCTCCACGGCGCTAAGTCTTTTGGGGTTGGGCTCGGCCTGCCTGCGAAAGTAGTCGGGCCCTTTGTTGAGGATGCGCAGGGGGACCGCCGAGGTGAAGGTGCCCGCGGGGCTGACCGGCTTCACCATGCTACCTGTCTGTAGGGTCTCCGTGGGCATGGTGGGTGGTCTCTCCCCGGCAGCCGTGTTGGATTCTGGTTTGGGCGCCTCCGGATACGCTGAATAGACACATGTACACGAAGCACAAAGGGCAGCGGACGGAGCCTGGAATCTGGGTGTCAGCAGCAGCAGCAGAGGCGCCTCATCTCACAGCTCATTAACTGCCACCGGGCCTCTGATTCACTTTCCCCCTTTCCGAAAGGCCACAAGCCACAAGTTCCTTTAATCTGCTTAGCTGCCTCCTTTCTTCTCCCCGAAGGATGTGGGAGTCTCCTCCAGGTCTTTGTGCTCAACTGCAGGCAGAGCTGAAACACACAACAACCAACCGCGGGTTAGGATGGGCGAGTGACATCACGGCTGTAGCAACAGAGAAACCCCGCGGCGCCCCCGCCTCCGCCGGCCTCCCGGCCCTGGGCCGCTTCTGGGCGGCGATCCCGGGGTCCCGGCGCGAGGACCGCCCGCGCCTGGCGTCCCAGCCTGCGCCCTGGCGCCCGCAATCGGACGCGGGTGCTGGGGGACAGAGAGGGGCCGAGCTTTCCCACGCGTGGGCTCTTGTGGCCGCCTCCCCGTTGGTGAGATCCGCCCCCTAATCACGCCCGGCTGGCATTCCTTGTATCAAACCCAGGAAATCCTGGCCGAATGTGGAAATGCGGGTTTGGCAGAGCCGCGTTCCCAGTTCACTGAACGCCCCTGGGTTCCTAGGAATCCGGCATCTGCTTCAGTCTCTGGCAGCGGTGAATTAGAATACGTCTCTTTCCCAACGAAGCAAAACTTCTGATTTCTTACTACCCAATCTCTCGATAACATCTAAAACGAGCACTTCTTTAATTCTTCAAAAGCTGAAAATACTGGCAAGAAAAGGGATTGGCAGCAAAGATGAAAAAAAAATTTAAAAAGCGTGTTTCGGTTATCTTACTTTTGCCAACTAATATATTTGAAAACATTTTCTCCTGAAAACGGAGACAAATGTATGACTTCCTGTTAACTACAAGCTTATTTTTTAATTAAACAAGAAAACTAGAAAAACCTCTAGATTAACCTTGTAACTAGATAATTTGATTATAAGTGCTCCATGATTTTTCACACTTAATGAGCAGAAAACAAAAGTGTCTCTGTGGTGTGTAGGTTCCCCAATCCCCTAGGGAACTCAGAACACAATCTTAAAGAGGTCAGTCACACCTAAATATGTTAGGTTAGAGAAAACTGGCATAATAGTCAACTATTCATGTACTTATTATTCATGGCTTTCTGAACAATTTGACCACCCTCTCCCCCAACCAAAACCACTATAAGGAAACATTTATCAGTACTCCCAACAGAAATCTACAGGCCGTCTTTCTACTTAGTACACAATGTATGTAGCGTTTTTCTAAGAACAGCTCCGCTCTCTGCCTGTTCCTGCTGGCAGAGAACATATTTGAATACATGAGCATCCCAAAGTAACTGGGTACAGACTTTTTCGGCGTCTTTGGCTATAATTAGGAATATTAAGGATTATGTATTCAACTAACATCAAAAAACTAACTTGCAAAATAAATAGAGTGGTATTACTATAAAATCATCTGCTCACATGGTAAGAAAATGAAGTGTCTATTAAGAACGAGCATGGAGGTGGGGGAAGGGAAGCCTGACTGTTCTCCCTCACCATCTTTTTTTTTTTAATTTTTTTTTTTTAAGATTTTTATTTATTTATCTGACAGACAGAGATCACAAGTAGGCAGAGAGGCAGGCAGAGAGAGAGAGAGGAAGCAGGCTCCCTGCTTGAGCAGAGAGCCAGATGTGGGACTCGATCCCAAGACTCTGAGATCATGACCTGAGCTGAAGGCAGAGGCTTTAACCCACTGAGCCACCCAGGAGCCCCTCCCTTACCATCTTTTAAAAACTTAATCTCCAAATACACTCACCGCCATGTTTTGTAAAGAGACAATTTCGATAATCTGCAAAAGGATTTGTTCTAATAAAAATATTTTCCGACGGAGACTTGAGAAGCCCCAAGGCAATTCCTACATAATGACTTCCTTTAATTGTGCAGTTCTGTTATGATACTTCAATTTACTTGAAAGAGCCACCTCCTCCCCCTTCTCATGAAGATTAAGTGAAATTGCTTCTTTGAACAAATTCTGAATGAAATGCCAGAGGGGAGCGGCAATTTCTCTGCGGAGCCTTCTGTGTTTCTTCATCTACCACCCTAGGGTCCACCTGATGGAAGGTGAACTGGAGCCCCTTTCCCTGTGGAGCTCGGAAGCAGAACAGGTAGCAGAACCTGGGCTCAGAGGCAACCCCACCGGATCTTTCCAGGCGCTTGAGAGAGGGTTGCCCCACCCACCACACCCCCACTCCTGCCAGGCCACATTTCTCCCCAGTAAGTGAATGAGTATAACATCTCCAGCTCCAGCTTCACATCTGGGGCTTCCAAATGTGTCCGCAGTTGGGACAGTGGCAGTACATTTGGGGGCAGAGTGAAGGACATGACTGAGATTTACGCCCATCAGCTTTGTGTTAAAGACCAAAGCAAACTTTCTGCAAGGCAAGTGGGAAGGTGGCCAGGGTAGGTGACAGAGCTCATACCTCTTCTCCTAGGGCCTCCTCCCTTCATCTGGGATATGAGGTGCTTGAATGAGATTCCCAAGATCCTCTCTCCCTCTAAATCATGGGGTTCTGAGAAGCTAAGAATGAATGAACTATCTCCAATTTCAAAATGGCACCTGGGACTATTGGCCTATGACTGGACCATGGTTCCTGCATTTACTGTTCTTAGGAAAATATTCTCTGAATGATGAGTTGTCCTGATCATCCTTTTGTGAACTAGCCTTAAAGCCCATGCCCCTGCATGACTGTCTTCCCTTGTAATTCCATCATACGAGGACCAGAAGCCCAAATATCTATGCTGTCACTGACCCAAACTCTCCAGCATGCCCTGTCACGGCGGGCTCTGAGACCTTTGTAACACTAAAAAGAACCGTTACTCTCAACACACAAGACTGACGAACACCAGTCTGTTTACCAGGGCTCACGCCTCAGGAAGCTCACTGGGCTGCTTTCACACTGATTTTTTCCTGGAAAAAAAGGCGAGAAAATGGGTAAACGGAGGCAGACACCCTCAGGAGGGCTCCTGCAGGCAAGCCTGTCTGCTCCAAGCCATCTAACCTTAGGGAGCAGTTTCTAGAACAAAACCGGTGTCAAAGGATTATGTAAGAAAGGCACTGATTGTAACCACTTTCCACTTCATTTCCTTTTTGTTCCGCCCCCCCCTTCTTTCCTCTGTCATGCCCAACTGCCCTAATAATTTTCAACACACTGATATTTACACAGCACCAGGTTCAGAGTTTAAAAAGCTTTAATTTGAACTCTTCGGAGAGGACAAGAAAAACATCTTCCTGGAAGAATCGAAAGCAGAAGACAATGCTATAGGAACAGGTTGGGTGTTGGAGGATCTGGTGTAGCCAACAAATTATGCCTACTTCAAACATAATGAAGGTGGCTTAGGCTGCTCCTTCTTCTAATACTTATCTAATCATATAATCCCTAACTTCTGTTCTTGTACTTTTCATTGCTTCAACAGTGTGGGCTGGGACAGAGCTGTATATTCCCAGAGTTCTGTAAGGTATATGGTCTCGATGAGGACCAAGTACATTTGGTGAAAAGATGGGTCAAATGGTAGATGACACACTTGGGGCTACATCTCAACATCATTTTGTGACAACCACGAACTGTGCTCAGGGAACACTGTGGCACACGACCCTCTGCTGACGCAGCCCTGCCACTGGTCCCCAACACCTGGGCAGACCCCTCAGGGGCGGCCAGGAGAGACTGCTGTTGCCTCATCCTGTTCCAGGAAAGCAAAATTAGACCTCAGCTGCACAGGACTGCATGCACCACAGTCATTACACAGTCCTACTTGAGCGCTGACTTCTGGCTAAGAAGAGGGAACATAAGCCGGACGGAGAGAGAAATGTCCACTTGCAAACTATTTCGCTATATTCGACCTTGCTGAATATTCATTGGAACATTTCATGAAAGTCTAGAATGAACTGGAGAATAAAGCTTGGCAGAGCCGAGGTACCAAATGGTCAGCTGAAGCAGAGCACGCGTGAACTCCACTGTGCTCTGGCCACGTTATCTGTGTGGCAGTGGGATACCAGCCAGGGACAGAGGGCTCAGGAACAAATGGTGACTCCCACTCACTGTAGCAGTGTTTCTGAAACTTGAAGGTGCCGGTGGCTGCCTGGGGATGTCCTTGAAATGGAGAATCCTGAAGTAGATTTGGGGTGGGGCCCGAGCTTCTGCATTTCTCAAAGATCCCAGGTGATGCCCAGGAAGCTGGTCCAGCCTTTGATTGGCCAGAGCAAAAGGAAGGAAGCCCGCTGCTGAACTAGCAAGCAATAGGTTGGAACTGAAATGCCTCTACACACTTTATGTGAAAAATGCTTAAAGGCAAAGGTCCTGGAATCCGGGTACCACGCACCGCAGTGCCTCTGAGGTGGGGCTGATCAAGGGCGACTGTGGCCTGTGTGAGGGGCCACCGGCTAAGGGCTGCCATGGGGACTGCTGTTCACTGTTGAAGCAGCAAATCCAGATCTCTGCAGAAACTCTTACGATTTTAAAATTCAATTTGTGAAACACTGGGGGCCAAGTGCTTCTGGTAAGTAAAAAGAAAGAGATAGTTAATGCTTAATTGGTCTTTAAATTTTAAGTAGGAAGAAAGCACTGCAGTTAGAGCAAGGACCCTAGGATAGAACACAGTCCCAGATCCACCTACAGACGTTTCTTAAATATGTGAAGACTGGCCATTTCCCAGGTGCCTTCCGGCATGGAAAAGGTGGTAATGTTGCTGTCAAGGGGGAGTTTAATTCCATTTCCAATCACCAAACAGCTCAGTGTGGTGACCTTATCTATGAAAATTGAATGTGTTGAATTCGGTGAGCTTGAAAACATCCTGGTTCGAACATTCTTGGAGGCAAGTAAGAAAAGAAGCAGTTTACCTTTGAGGTTAATAAGGATTCTTGAAGAACTGATCTTTCTAATTTCCTCACGTGTCTTATCACAGAACACTGACAATACGTATACAATTGCGCCATGTCGCTTTCTGACTTTTTTGTAATAGTATTCGTGCTACTGGCTTTAAGGCATCAAATTCCAACTTGCTGGGGGGGGGGGTCACTCTCACAGCTGTTCTTGGATATTCCCGTTTAAGGACAGACAAGCATCCATGTCAGTGAAGTAAAAAACACACAGTTTCATAGGACAATGTTACCTTTGAATTCTTAACAAATATAAGAGAAATGCACTCACAATGTAGGAGTGC